AATAAGGAAGTTGGAAAGACAGCTTCACATGCTCTTAGAAATATCCTGTCCTCCCCACGCCGTTTACCGATGGAAAATTGAAGCCTGAGGTCACGGGTCAGCTAGTGACAGACCCACGCACCTGGCTCCCAGCTCTTCCAGCCCTAAAAGCGCAGTGTGGATCAGCGGGACCTGAATGCATGTCACAGTGACACCAGTGTGTGCTGCTCACTTAGCCCTAGAACCTCTACAAGTTCTTGGCCCACGAAGCCATAAAAAGGAATTCACAGACTTTTTAGATAAGTAAGCTGAGAGAAGCAAACCTTTTACAAGAAAGTGAGAATAAGTTTGGTTAGAGGGAAAAAAAAAAAAAAAAGCAAAGACCCCCATGCAGTGTCGTCAATGAGGGGCAAAGGAACCCACTATGGGTCCGTGGCTAGGACATACTTAAACTCTTCTTTCTCTGTACTAAACTCTCGACATCCTATTTTGTAATTGGCTTTTTCCTAGTACCAGCTCTTATCTTAGAGTTTACCTTCTCTGTCCAAGGTCTTATTCTCTCAAGTTTTACTGTCTTGTGTTGTGGACTTTCTGACCTCATTTTTGGAGTAGGTTTTGGTTAGTACCACTTAGAATTTACGGTCCTTTTTTTAGAAGCCTCTTTAACTCTCCCACAGTCCCTGCCTGCGCTATCCTTGAACTGCCTACTTAATGCCCTGTACTCGGCACCATGCCTCAGTGTGCAGCCTGCACGTTGGAATCCTCTCCAGGTCCTGCCAGGTGCAAAGAAGACACCGGCGAGAACAGACTCCCCAAGATCTCCTGCCCTCGCTCATGCCATGGTGGATTTAATTTGGTCATGTCACAGACAGCAGAGGAGGGAGCTGGGCGAGGATGGAAGCCACGCCTGGAGGGGTGCAGCTGCAAGCCCAGGAACACCAAAGTCAGGAAGTCAGGAAATGACCAGGAAGGGATGCTCCCGCCAAGCCTCCAAAGGGTACCGAAACTCCAACACCTTTATTTTGATGGCTGACTTCCAGAACAGGGAGAGGACATGTCTGTTGACGGGAGCTTCCCAGTTGGTGTTAATTTATTACAGTAGAAACTCACATGCAGGGTACAACTGACAAGGCCAAATGGCTGGAAGACCCGACTCTGGCAACGCAGCACTTGAGCCCTTTGTGACAGTGCCCTGAGCTACTCAGAGCTCCTGGAAGTGGCTCCACTCTGAAAACTAAGCCATCCTGCTATAGAGAAGCCCCTCAGCAGCAGTGTTCCAGGCAAGCTCTCCACAAGCCACACAAAACAAAGCAGAAAGTAGTGCCCGGAAGAGAGCTGAGCTGATGTCGGAAGAACGTCTGTCTTCACGGGGGCTCCGCTTCTTTGATTCTTTCCACGTGCATTAGGAGAGACGGGCTGGAGGGGCTGATGATCTGTTTTCCATTTTAAAGTTAGGTTCATGCTACAGATGGAATTTTGTCTTTTTGGGAGAGAACAATGTGCTCTCTTGATAACAGTCCCAACACCAGTAGCCACAGAATGCCCCTGGTGTGTCTTAAAAAGCCACAGAATGCCTCAACCTGATGATTCCTCAAGATTTTATTAATTTATAATATTACTCTCCATCAGGATGATCACTTTTTATTATCTTGCTGTTCTGAATTGTATCTTCCTTATTATTCTCAGCTACAGAGGCCATAAATTAAATCACTCAGAATTTACACTCTTACAGTTCATTATCTCTGATTGGTATTATCCCACTGCCTTATTCTGGCCCTTCTATATCACCTGTCAAGAAATATTGCAATAGAGTCTAAATACCATCCAGCCAATAAATGCAATAAATGTTGAGTTAAAAAAAAAAAAAACTCTGGTGACTACACTTTCCCTAAAGGTGCCTTCCCAGAAGGCCCCCATTGCTCCTTCTTATCTCCACTACCTGCTTTCTCCTCTGCTAAATGACAGTGAATGTGAGATTCTAAAGAGCTAGGAATTGGGACCCAGATGGAGGCCTTTGCTATACTGCTGTCAGCTGGGCATGGCATTCTCCTCTTTGACCTTCACCTCTTTACCTAAAGGCATAGGCACATGAAGATATACCAGGCTATTTCCTGAAAAGCAACTTTATCTCAGGGATATGAAGCAATGGGATGACTCAAAAAGCACCGTGTGTCCATTGCCATGTGTTGAGCGCCTCTCAGTGACAATGCAAACCCATCCACGTGTGACTGGGAGGCTGGTCCCAGTTCCTCAGATTAATCAACTCTGTGTGAGTGTAGATCTTCACAACAGACCCCAGGAAACATAACATGATGTTCTGATAGCTGCAAGTTCCCCTAAATTAATTTGAATGTTCACTCACTAAAGAGTTTGCTAAAGTGGGCTTATGTAGCCATCAGCTGGGAGGTTAGGGCTGGTGTCCAGAGATACCCCGAGGGGTGGCCGGAGGGGTGTGAGGCTGGTAGGGTGCCCACGCTGCCCATGCAACACGCCCAGGATCCCAAGGAAGTTAAGTAAACATAAAATATAATATAACAGCGTTCCATGGGAATTGAAGCTGCAATGATATATTGTATCTCATCCACTGGCGAGACAAAATATAGACTATAGACAAAGCAAGCGATCCTCAGACGATGATAAACCTGGCCATAGGTCTGAGGCATCCAGAGTGGGGAGGGGAGGAGAGGGAGCAAAAACAGGAGTGGGAAGAGCACTCTGGACAAGACCCAGGCTACCAGAAGGGGTGATGGGGAGCGGGGCCCCAAGGGAGCAGGGCCCCAAGGGAGGGGCTTTGGTGGTGGGTGTGGTGAAGGAACATATCATTATAGAGGTGTAAACTGTACCCCTACAACACCTGCTGTGATGTAAATCAATGTTACCTTAATAACTATATTTTATTTTAAGAAAATAAAGTAACAGTCTGATGACAGCAGGCTCTGGCAAGGATAAAGTCATGGGGACACTAATCATCATTAATGGGAGCAGGAGTGATGCCCCCACTTTGAACACAACTGGCGGTGCCTGCTGAAGCGAAGCGGCACCAACCGCATTGCCCGCAATCCCTCGGTAGTTTCATGCACTAGGGAAACTCTGACACGCGCACAGCCAGTAGACAAGTGCAAAATGCTGGCAGAAGTGTTGTTGATAATAGCAAAGGCCTGGAAAACACCCAAATGTCTAACGACAGCAGAAGAAATAAATTGTGATATTTTCATGCAATAGATTCAAAACCAAATGAACCATTGCTACGTGCATCAAAAGGGACAAGTCACAAAGCAGCAGTATGATCCCATTTACTTAAAAGGTTACAGACCTAATCAATATATTGTTGGAGGCAATGTGCAAAAGTGGTAAGGCCATAAAGAAAAGCAAATAAATGATTAACACAAAATGCAGGCTAACACTCACCTCTGAGGGCAGGGGAGGTTTTTGATCTGGGTGGAGGACAGAATAGGTTGTAAAGGGCCTAAAAAGGTTCCAGTCTTACACTTGGGGCTGAGAACACAAGTGGTGACTTTATTATAATCTTTAATCCAGCACATATGTTACACCTGGTTTTCTGCACCTGCTAGATTTTGTAGTAACAGCTATAAGGATGAGATGCTCCATCTCACCACACCGACTGGATCAGAGCCTCAGGCTGCAAGGTCTAGGTGGTATTTACATAAGCCCCTCTCCAAATCACCACCACTACACACACCCCAGAATACCTATCAGTATTTGTAATCAAGCAATTTCAGGAGCCATAGAAACAGAAAGGCATGTAAAAGGAAAGACAACACACAGTTGAGGCTTTATGGATGATGGAGAAGCCTGAGAATATTAGTTACTTCTGTGCCACTATAAGTTCCTTCCAGAGACGCTCTGAGCCTGGCTCCTGTCCAGTTCCCAGTAGCAAGAGCCTGAGATAATCACCTCCAAGAATTGGGCACAGAGCAGGCTCTCACCACAACTTTTGCCACAAAGACAGAAACACAAGGTGGTGGAAAGTGCCCTTGTCCAGGTCTCATCACAGCAGACATTGAGGCCTGGACCCACCTTCCAGAGAGTCACTTCCCCTCTCTGGGTCTCAGCCCTCCCTTCTTCCCCATGTCCCCCACAAAACTGCAATCTACTGAGACATTGTAAGTGGATGTACTTTGCAAAATGAGTACTGCTCTGAATGTCTAGTGAATCCATTACTATCTCAGTTACTATTTCTTCCTAGGAGCCAGAAACATCAGCTGTCAATTCTGGATCCATAGAATTTTGTGGGCTCAAGGAATCAGGAGCAATAAGATTTGGTTTAGGGAGAATGGAAGGCTGGACAAAGGCTTAGTACCCCTACATCCCTCTCGAAAAGCTCAACAAGCATTTAACTAACAAGTGTCCCCTACTTATACAGAGCCTACTTCTCCAGCCCCTGGTAATTGAGAAGGGGATGTTTACCAATAACTCAGAACCACTAGAAACACCATACAAAGCTAATACACAGCCTGAATACTCATGAATGACATTGAAACCAACACTTAACCCAGTTCCACAATACCTTCCACGTCAGGAAGGCCTAAATGCAGGACATTCAACAACATTTAAATGCTTTAGTATAAATGAAACCCTTTTTAATATAAGTCCGTCCAAACTGTTACATGATTCTTACTGAAAGACCATTTGTTGCTCACAGGGAGCTCAAATTTATCTGGGTCACCTATTTTGTATGTGGCAACTACTTCAAATGGACAAACATCAGCACTTTCTGCTACCTGTTACATGGGAAAAGCCACATGAAAGGGAGTTATGATATCCTGTTTTCCTTTACTTGGTAAAAAAGTATAAGGTTGGATTGATCTTGAAATGGGATTGACATCCTCCCCTTCCTTGCCAGACAAAGAAGACACAGAGGAGACCAGACTGACTTAAATGTTGGCCCCATGGGAAATAGGACAGGCAAGGGTGGGGCAGCCTCAAAGGGTGAAGGAGAAGTAGATCTCACAGCCCATCCCAGATCATCCAGGACACTCCCCACAGGCCTCTGTCCTTACCTCTGGGCATGTCCTTGGTGTGCTCTGCCTCGGGCCCATCCAGCAGGTCCATCTGAGAGGCCTCCTCAGAGGGCACACGGCGCCAGGACCAGCTCTGGTTCCCGAGGTCATGCAGTGGGGGGGAGTACTCCAGCTCACAGGGGAAGTCGAAGCTGCACTCCAGACCTGCAATGACAGTGGGACAAGCTGGCTCTCAGAAGTGAGCATCCAGCCCCACCCCCACAGTGGCCTTTCCCTCACCCACAGCCTTGCCCTCCCCAGCAGTGGTGAGATGCCAGCCTGACAGCTGGCTGGGCTCCAGATTGGTGGAAAGGGAACCAAGAGAGGAGAAGGGAGTCTTTTCACGTCTCTGAGGAGGGGAAGGGTGCTTTTGGAGAACACAGGTAGAACATCATAAAAGGTTGGACCACCAGGAGCTTTGCGCTCTGGGAGGCACCCTGGTGCCATCACGAGGGCCTGAGGGCAAGGGGCCGGAGCCTGCCTGTGCCACCAGGTCCAAACACAAGTCCAGTTCTTCACTTGCCAGCAGGTGACTCTAGAAAAGAAAATCAATGTTTCTGGCCCCAAATTCCCTCACCTCCACATTGGGGATCATGCTATCTAGTTCACCAGCTTACTTTAAGAGTCGGTAGGGTGAGGCGAGACCAACACACCTGGGCTGATCACTGGCCGTGCTCAGGAAGAGCCCGGTTGGGTCCTGCCCTGTCTGAGAAGAGGAAGGCCCAGGGGATTCAAGTTTTGTTCAGCCCTTCGGCCCCTCCCGCCTCCAGAGAAGAGGGTGAGGCTAAGACAGCTAGTAGGAGTTGGCAGATTTTCTCTTGAGGAGGGAATGGGGCAGGTCACAGGGGAAGGACAGAGAGACAGGTGGGCAGGAGGAGGTCATGCACTGGACTTTTTAGTCTCCTATAGTTTTGGGAGGAATCCCCCTGACACTTAAATCATGCCATGCACCCTCACTTTAGGAGACACTCGCCTCCCTTCGCCTCCTCTTATCCCCTGTGATTGCCAAGGGGGCTGGAATACTTTGTGCCTGGCAGGTGCTCAGGGCTCACTGAGGGTTAACAGATGTTGATGCAAAATAGTGAGTCACTTTTTACTGCATCCTTTCCCTGGTGGGATGAAAGGAAGACGTGATATAAAGGACTGACCATTGCCAGAGAGACAGGGAGATAAGGGCCTGTCCAGGCTGAACAAGTCTCTCTTCATACTTGAACCTTGGTGCCCTCATCTGTAAAACAAGCAGCTTCGACTAGATGATTCTAGGAATGCCCACGCAGGGCAGCGTAGGGTGGCAGCTCCAGCTCTGGAACTGATTGGCTGGTTACTTTCAGCAAGCCACACGGCCTCTCTGGGTCTCAAGTTCTTCAAATATAAAATCATATGTTTCTAAATGTCTTCTTGATTTAAAAAACAATCACCAATTTTTAATTTGCATAATAATGGAAAGAAAAGAAATAAAGTTTAATAAAGTGGTTAGATTAGGAGACTTACATGTCAACATATGTAGACAGTTTGGGCTTCAAGGGATGACACTGATTTTTTTAAGATTCCAAACCCCTTGCTCTCAGAAGGGTTATAGTTAATTTAATCAATCAAATTCTAAGTCACTGTTAATAGATGCTAACTCCCAATCAGCATTGTGCATTTTTTAAAGATTTATTTATCTATGTATATAGAACTGGGGTACAGCCAGAGGTGCAGGGGGTGAGAGGATTAACCAGAGACAGAGTGGGGAGTGGAATAGGCAGATGGACTGAAATACACTGCTGAGGGGAGCAGCAGGCAAGTCAGGAGAGGTCTGCTGCACTATGTGGGTTAGTTCCCTGGCTGGGGATTGAACTCATGCTATAGTAGCTGCGATAGCTTCATAGTGCTGTGCTTTAACCTTTGCACCACCAGAGAGGGCCCCAGCATCGTGCATTTTAACAGCTGCTTCTGGGGCTCTTGCTACTTTGATCTCCAAGACCAGTCTGGTATTGGAAATTTCAGAACACAGAGGAGAAATGGGCCTATTTTAGTGTAGGCAGCCACTGTTAGATTGTCCTTAATCACATACGCCAGCATCTGGCCCTGCCCCTGAGTGGGAGTAAAATAATTCCCATTGACACTGGCCAAACTAAATTTAGGAGGGATGAAAAAAATCCTTCAATTACACTTCTATTAAGTATCTTTCTGTTTCTTGCCCAGTAGAGATTTATATACCACCCACTCACCAGGAGCTGCCATCCTTCTGGCCCGAAGGTTAATACTGCTCGCCCTTTCACGAGTCACACAATTCACCTTTATAACACCAGCTGAAACAGGCAGAGCTACTATGTTTGAGTTGACATGCCACTTGCTGCCTACATATTTTAGGCTGAAAACCTGAAAACCTCCTACCTGCTTCTGGGGCTGAGCAGATGCGACAGGTTGGTGCCCAGAGTTGCAGGCTGCCGCATCTTCAAGACTGCCTTGCCACGCACCTGATTTTGACATAGTAGAATGCAAGTGCCCAAGGGACCCAGCATTTTGTTCTCTGGAGCACAAAAACAGTCCTTCTATACAATGGCGTAGCCACTACAGCTAGTTCTTCTGTGGAGGGTACAAAAGTCCCACCCACCCTAGCAAATGATGGGGTCAGAAGGTGGGAGAGAAAGCCATAGGCAACCCACCTCAACCCACCTCAATGGTGCCACCCAGTCGTGCCTTTCCCAAAGTTTCAACTTCTGTATCCACTCCAGCTTTCTCCTCCAGCTACAGCCATCTTGTTGCTGTTTGGGGCAGAAGTGTGATGACCAGCTCACACGCTACCTAGAAAATGTGTCTTGGGTGCGTATTAGAAAAACAGACGACGGAACATATAACCTCAGCATCAAGCATCAATTCTGAGATCTTTGGACTTTCAAGAGTCTAACAATCGTCTGTGTTTGCGCAGATGGTGCCCAGGGAAGCAGACTAGGCAGGTACTCCAATTATCATATTGGCTCATTTTTAAATTCCCACTGCAAGGCAACTTCCCTTCAGCTGTCAAAGCTGTAATCTTTGGCTTTAAACAGGAATGAAGTTAACATTACTGCTCATTTTAGGTGAAATTGAATTGGGCTTTTGTATATTCTGATTGAATTTCTTATACAACATTAAGACACAGGTCTCTCTCTCTCTCTCCCATCCTAGTCTGAGTGCCTAGTCTCCAAGCAATAATACCCAGGACTCATTTTTTCCCTCAAAATAGGTTAACTTTCATTTTCTTGGTGTCATCTCTGAAGTTCTAGACCTAGGGTATTTCTTGAACCTCTCCTTCACCTTCCACTGACCCATCCCTATAGAGAGAGACTGTAGTCTATTTTACATCAGGATTTGGAGAACTCATAGGCTTTAGTGAAGTGCTGGGCCTTGAGCCAGTGGTGCAAGCGAGCTGCGCCCTAGGAAAGGAGTGGGCAGAGAATCTCTTGTGCCTGGCTGTCTGTTGGGGACTGTGTTGGGGGTCTTTCTTACCTCACTAGATTTAATCTGCAGGATCACACTGAGCAGACAACATCATCTCTCTACAGAAGAGGAAATTGAGGCTTAGAAAGGTTATTCTCCTTCCCAAAGACCAAAAGGCTTCCCAGAAGCAGAATCATAAAATTACTCGGGGCTAGGTAATGCTGAAAATCCAGGTATATTTTTATCATATTTTTCACTATAGCTTCAGAATCTTGCTCCAAGGTCAACAGATTAAATTAAATAATACATGAGAAATCTATGAAGTGTTATAGTTTGGTTACTATCAGATCCAAAGTCGGCAAAACTTCATAGCTGCAAAAGCTTCCCCACTCCCTAAGGGGGGCAGAAGTCTATTTCCTATTTTGCAAAATAACTTTGTCCAGAAGGATCCAGACATCTGAAGCTCATTTGATGACCCCATTTGGACCTACAAGGATTAGTCATTGGAAAAAAGCAGTTAGAAAAAGACGTGCTTTCCAGAACTGTTGACCACATAGTGGTCACTGCTACTCCTTTCTAGTCTCTTCTGTCATGGAAGAAAGATAACGGAAGCTTCCAAACACAGTCTGACTGCAGTGCCCAGGGTGAGGAGGGGCAGCTGTTGGCAGAGCAGCGAAGATGTTCCAGGCTCAGCCTTGCACATAGTAGCTGGGGGCTCCAGGGGATTCATTCCTCTTTGATGCCCACTTTTCTGTATTTGAAGAAAGGAGAACTGAGGACATGCCCTCGATGGGACCCTCCACCTTGGAGACCTGTGATGCTCCCGGGCTCATCCTGGACCAACATTCCCAACACTCCCTCACCTGCCTCTCATCGAGGTTTGTCGCCTTCCCTAGAGACAGCTTCCCCACGGCAGGAGCTAGATGTTCATCATGCTCACAGGGGCTTCGATTAGCCCCAGATTCTCAGAGAATGAAGAAGGAAAGCTCAGGCCAGTTTTACAGATGACTGGTCCAGGGTGGGGGAGTGTGAGGGAGTATGTGCATGTTCCTGCATTTTTATCAGTTTGTACCTATATTCTGAAACCTTCTAGGGTGGGAGTCACGTTTGAAAAACAGAGCACTAAGTTAGCTTTAGATGTTGTTCTTAAAGCAGCCATTCAGAAGAATGTTCCAGTAACTGATTAAACACACACCACACACACACACACAGGTGGCACTGCCTAGAGAAATGGCCTGTGGTCTCACCCAGCCCCTTTAGTAGGAGAGGAGCTGGCCATGACCACCACTTCAGCACTGAGTGTGATGGCAGAAATCTTGCTTATAGGAAAGCAGGAGGCACTGAAGTATCCTGCCCAGGCCTGTGCCCAGGAAGCCAGCAGCAGCCACCTGGGCAGAGGTGGGGCGTCTTCCCCACCTGAGCTGCCTCTAGGGGGTTGCATATAAGTTTCAGACACTGTTTTGCTCTAGGGAAGAATAAGGGGGAGAGAGGGTGTGCCTAGCATACTGGTGTCTCACTTCAGGTGGTCTTAGAATATTCAACAGTCCCCCTTTAAGTCCAGACTGATCCCGCACCCTACCCTGTGAACACAAAGACCTTCATTCATTCATTTCCTCAGCCTCCTTGGCTCAATTGAGTCAGGGGACAAGTAGCCTACCCTAGCTTTTAGGATGACGCTCCATGGCTGGTTTCTAGGCAACTAGAGGATGGCAGGGACCAGAACAGCCAAGGCAAAACAGGAGCTGGAGGACCTGAGCTGT